AGAGAAACTAAAGAAAAGGAGGCCCAAAGAATCTTTGGAGCAAGTCCTCTACACAAAACTCTCTTTCAAAGAAAGAGATGGAGGCTTTGGACGTGGTAGAGGCCTTGGACGAGGCAATGGTGGATTTCAAGGACGTGGACGAGGAAGAGCTCGAGGAAGCTATGTTCAATCTACCAAAGAGGAAAACAACCAAGGCTCTCAATATACAAGAGGCCGTGGAAGAGGTATGAAGTTTCAAAGAGGAGTTAAATCTCGAATCCAATGCTTTAATTGCCAAGAATATGGTCATTATGCAAGTGAGTGTAGAAATTCTAGTCAAGTAAAAGAAAAAGCCAATCTTATGGAGGTTAAAGATGAAGTTCAACTCACTCTCTTAATGGAGAGACACGAGGACGAAGGAGAGAAGAAGACGTGGTATCTTGACTCCGCTACGAGTAACCACATGACTGGGGAAAAAAGGTTGTTCGTAGACATGGAACCAGCCAAAGGGTACGTGATGTTTGGAGATGATTCTAGAGCAAGGGTTGAAGGCAAAGGTAAGATACTAATCCTTGCTAAAGATGGAAGTCACCAATACATCTCAGAAGTTTATTATGCTCCAAGTCTTAAGAGTAATATCTTGAGCTTGGGACAACTTCTGGAGAAAAATTACGATATTCATTTGAAAGATCGTAGTGCCATATTTAAGGATCCAGAAGGAAAATTGATTACTATTGTGCCAATGACAAGCAATAGAATGTTCTTGTTGAACATTCAACATAAGAACTGCATGAAAGCATGCTTGAAGGATGATTCGTGGATTTGGCACATGAGGTATGGTCATTTAAATTTTGGTGACTTGAAAATGTTATCTGCCAAATGCATGGTGAAAGGAATACCTCATATCAATCAGCCCAATCAAGTATGTGAAGGATGCTTACTTGGGAAGCATTCGAGGAGTGCTTTCCTAAACGAAGCAACATCAAGAGCTAAGGAGCCTTTAGAACTCATCCATACAGACTTGTGTGGTCCTATCTCTCCACCATCCCATGGTAAGAACACCTACTTCATTCTATTTATTGATGATTTCTCTCGAAAGACTTGGGGGTATTTTTTGAAGGAGAAATCACAAGCCTTTGATGCCTTTAAGACATTTAAGGCTGTGGTGGAGAACGAGAAAGGCTTGAAAATCAAAGCCTTAAAGTCCGATAGAGGTGGAGAATTCACATCAAGTGAATTCACCAAATTCTGTGAAGAACATGGGATTAGACGATTCCTTACCGCTCCTTACTCTCCGCAACAAAACGGAGTTGCGGAAAGGAAGAATAGACCATTCTCAATATGGTTCGTAGTATGCTAAAGAGCAAGAGGATGCCAAAGGAGTTATGGGCTGAAGCAGTTGATGTGCAGTATACCTACTAAATCGATGTCCAACGAAGAGTCTAGAAGACAAGACTCCACAAGAAGTATGGAATGGGACAAAGCCCACAGTAAATCACCTACGAGTGTTTGGGAGTATAGCATATGCCCACATACCAAGCCAAAAGCGGTCCAAACTTGATGATCAAAGCGAGAAGCATGTCTTTGTTGGCTATTACAAACAGTCAAAAGGTTATAAGCTCTACAATCCAGTCACGAACAAAGTTATTGTGAGTAGAGATATAGAGTTTGATGAAAAAAGAACCTGGGACTGGAATATTGAAGGTGGCGAAAGCTACGACTTCTTTCCTGTCATCCACGAATATGACGATGAAAGTAGTGATGCAGGTGAAGATACTCAGCAACCTCAAAGTCCACGTTCACCTTTGAATGAAGAGTCACAAAGGATGAGAAGCCTACAAGAGATCTATGAGGAAACAGAATGCATAGAGGCTCTCACACTCTTCTGCCTTTATGCTGACTGTGAACCTCTAGGTTACGAAGAGGCAGCAAGGAATGAGAAGTGGAGACACGCTATGGATGAGGAAATAAGATCCATAGAAAAGAATCAAACTTGGGAGCACCCGGAAGCACCATGCTCCCCCCTCATATTTTTTGCACTACTAGTCCTTATTGTACTTTTTTCTCAATCTTCCAATAATTTGCATGTTTAGTCCCTGTCATTTTTTCCTCTTCCCTTCCAAAAAAACATCTCTAATCTTCAAACGAGCATATCTCTCAATCCATGAAGAGATGGAAAACGTGTTACACATGAATTTTATTGTATTCGTCGATATATATCTAACAAGATCCATATCGAATATTTTTTTCGGCCTTAAAATAGATTAAATTCTAATAGGCAGAAATAAGGTGGATGGATATCTAGTTTAGAAAACTGGATAACCAACTTATTTTAAATTGGTTATTCATTGTGTTCATGCTGATTATCCAACCAGTTTGAACTGGTTATCCATTTCATTTGTACTACTTATCCATTTAGTTTGTATGTCTATCCAACTTGTTTTGCAGTTAGAATCTAACGGGTTTGTATGTATATCCAACTTGTTTGTACTTGATATCCGTCCATTTGATTTGTATGCCTATCCAACATATGTGTACTGGTTATCCAACGGATTTATATGCCTATCCAAATTATTTGTACTGGTTATCCAATCAACTTTTTTCGTTTGAAAAAAATCATTGTCCAATACGCTAATACTGGTTATCCATTTTTTTATGCTCCTTATCAAATCATTTTTTCTCTTTGAAACACGGTTATCCAATGTGTTCGTAGTGATTATCTAATCACTTTGTATTGGTTATCCAATTATTTTTACTGCTTGTCTAAATAAATTTGTATTGTTTGTCCAATCATTTTTTTTTCTCTTGAGAAAATGCTTGTCCAATTGTGTTCGTACTGATTATCCAACCATGTACTATTGTTTCTCCAGCTATTGTTTTTATTTTTATGAAAATACTTGTCCGATATGTTTGTACTTGTTATCCAACTAATTGGTATTGCTTATCCAACCTAGTTTTTTTTTCTTAAAATGGTAAACATTGTGTTCATACTCATTATCCGACCGGTTTGAACTGATTATCCATTTCGTTTGTACTGGTTATCCAATCTTTTTTCTTAGAAAATCATTGCCCAATGTGTTAATACTGATTATCCAATTAATTAGTACTGCTTATCCAACCTAGTTTTTCTTTTTCTTTTTTTTGAATAAAAAAAATGTTTTCCAACGCGTTTGTAGGGATTATCCAACTACTTGATATAGATTATCCGACTATTTTTTTCTCTACTCTTTGCGAAAATCCTTGTCCAATTTTTCGTACTGACTATCCAACCGTTTTGTTTTGGTTATCCAATCATTTTCATTGATTATCCAAATAGAATCTCTCTTCTTTCTTTTCTCTTTTGAGAAAATATATGTCCAATGTGTTCGTAATGATTATCCAACTTCTCGGTGATGGTTATCCGACCTTTTTTTTTCCTTGCTCTTTTATGAAAATGATGGTCCAATTTTTTTTGTACTGATTATCCAACCAGTTTGTACTGTTTCTCCAATTATTTTCACCGCTTATCCAAGTGGTTTGTAATGGTTATCCAAATATGTATATTCTTTTTTTTCTTTCTTTTTTTTTTTTAAGTGGAGTGAATGTCAAAAATATGATTGGATAACCAGTACAAACGAAATGGATAATCATTCCAAACCGGTTGAATAATTAGTATGAACGCAACAGATAACCATTTTTCAATTTCTTCATTTCTGCCCGTCAAATTTAAATGGATTTAAAGTTCAAAAAAAAAATTCAAAATTGATCTTATCGGATAGATCTCGTCGAGCAATATAAATTTTATATATAATTCGTGTTCTAATTCTTCACGAATCAAAAAATATATGCAATACAAGAATTTTATAATATAAAATAAGTTGGTTATCCATCTTTTTTAAACTGGATGTCCATCCAAATGAAGGTACAAAATTTCTTTGTTTCTGCCCATCAAAATTTAATCATTATTAAGTTGGAAAAACATATTCGATGTGGATCTTGTTGGATACATCTCGACAACTATTATAATTTTCTATAACACGTTCTCTAATTCTTTGCGGATCATGAGATATGGTCGTTTAAAGATTAGAGATATTTTTGGAAGGGAGATAAAAAAGTAACAGGGACTAAATTTGCAAAATAGAGGAAGAGTAGAAAAAAGAAATATAATGACTAGTAGTGCAAAAAATAGGAGGGGGAGTAGGTACTCCAAGGTATACTGGATACAGACTCAGAAAAGAAGCCAAACTGGTAAGGAATTTCTTGTTTATTATGTCAAATTTGTGTTTTTTTTTTTTTTTTGCCACTTTTCCGTTTGGAAAAATTTGCACTAACATTAAAGCAATAACAACAGTACAATAATTTGCAGTACTGTTCTGATTTCAATTTTCTTCGGTCCAAGCTGGAATCGTTAGCCAGAAAAGAATCAAGAACTTCATTGCTTCCATTAATGGCTCTCCTAGAATGGCAGAAGTAAAGCTTCTTCAATTTTCCCCTAATTTTTGCATTCATATCAGTACTAGCCATCATCCTCCAGAACTTGTTCTTCAGCTTTGCATTTGTTTCAGGACATTTGATGAAGAGAATTAAAGGAACATCCGAACAAAGGATTCGAGTGTACTTCATTTGATTTGTTTGATAAAGACCAGGAAGATGTAAATTGCATATTTACGTTGCATGTCATCTGGATTTGTTACATTGTCATATATCATAATTCTTGCATGAAACTCATCACAATCGTTTGAAAAATCTGAATCAGAATTACAATCAGAATTACAATCGTTTGAACACTTCAGAAAAATTATTATCTTAATCTCCGGCTGTTTCATGGCTTTTGGATGCCTCAACAGGTGTTCAATCATCGTTTGAGAAAGCCGAAACAACCAATTTCACAAAATCTTCTTCGTGAGATGTCTTCTAAAGTCTTCACAACCTCTGCCATCTCCGGTCTTCCACCAGGTTCCATCCAGCAACGTCGCATCAAATTAGCTAGTTTTTTGGGGCAATCTTTGCCGATTGGAGGGGTAAAACTCGCAAGGTTGGAACTAACATGCTTCAGATAGTAAAGCTCCCAAAGACAGATGCCGAAGCTGAAAACATCGCACCGATGAATGATCATAGGACGTAGAATCCAAAACCTCGGGAGCTATATAACCCTTGGTTCCAACTTTCACGCTCATCTCATCTGTTTCGATCTTTGAACCCCCAAAGTCTATGATCTTAACTCTCCCTTTGTCGTCGAGCATCAAGTTTTGCAGCTTCACGTCACGATGAACGATGTTCTTGGAGTGCAAATAAGACAGCGCTCTGGCAACATCTAGGGCAAGTTTGATTTTGTGCTTAAAGGAAAGCTTCTTGTGATGGCGGACATAAGATGCTAATGTCCCGCCTTTTAGATATTCTCTGACAACGGCGCAACAACATCCACTTTTCTTCAGTTCCTTCAGCGGCGGCTTTACGTCTTCTTTCGCCTCGATCAGCTTCGCCACGTTTGGATGATCTAGCTGAACCCAGGTTGATACTTCTCGCAGGAAGGACAACTCCGCCGTCTCCACAGCACAGCTGTCTTCTTCGCCAGCGCTGATTACTTTCACGGCGACGTCTTTCCCACAGTATCGACATAGAAAGACGGTGCCGTAAGCACCGGATGCTATTCGTTCCCCCCACTCCAGTTCTTCCCAATCGAACTCCTTCGCTGCTTCTTCCATTGACCTAACTCTCCAAAGAAATAGAAACTTTTTTATTTTCTTCTATTCCTTGAATTTTTCTATGTGAGGTTGAAGCATATTAATATACAGTGATACCTTCTCCAAATTGACATCAAATTACGATTCACCGACACCCCAGAAAGGGTAACTAGTTCCGCGGCCTCCACTGTAAAGCCAAATCAAACAACAATTTGTGAAGCACCTTCCAATTTCTTTCCATAAAACAATGTATTGTTCTCATAAAATATTAAATAGTCTAATCAAAACTAATAAAATGCATGAAAAACTCGTTGATCTCCATGCTTCGTGCTTTCCACGAGAGGAAAGGTTTTTAGGGTTTTTGTTTCAGAAACCTGAAAACGTGTCTTTCAATTAAACGGTGGATATTGCGACTTAATTAAATAGAGGAAAAAATAAAGGGAAAAAGCAGGCCAGCTAGGAAGGAGAAACAAAATACACTATGTTCTATAATATAATCTAAACAAAAATCTTGAACTAACAAACGTTCATCATAAGTAAAATTCTGATTGGTAATTCTTTTTTTTTTTTATGATGGCACATTGACATTACATATGTATTTTTAGTAAAAACATTGACGTTATATATTAATATTAATAGAAAACTACTTTTTTTTCATCTATTATGTCCCATGTAATTGGATCATTACAAGAAAATGGTGTCAGTATATGTAGTATAATTTTATATACATCTACTAGGTTTTGTTTGGGGAGATATCTCTTAGGTGATAGTTTCCACTGCAAAAATATGGTCTAAAAGATTTTTAGAACAGATAAATTAATAATTATATGTAAAATGTAAATGATGAGAGCAATTGCAACTTTTTTCCCACGGTTAACAACAGTAACAATTATAACTTATTTTAACTAGTTAAATCAATGGTACTTGGATCAAATTTAGAAAATGAAACATAAATTTTAGTATTCCTATGTCCCTGTTTCATTTTAAAAAAAAAAAAAAAAATCATTCTTGCCTCGCTACTATTGAGGAGATTGTCAATGCCAATGGTTTGCTTTGATATTGGTAGACAAGTCTTTCCCGACTCTAAACTTCGCTAAAACTCTCGATTTTCTGACTTCTCACAACATTTTTATCTTATTTTGTCCACATTTCTTTTTACATTGGATGGAGACTCGAGTTCCTGCTTTGATATTGGGTGGACTTCGACCAGACCAGTACATGGAAGGATGGAGATTTTTAAATAATATGTGACCTAACCTAACATAAATTTTTTTATATATATATCGGACTATTTTAATCGAGCTAACATACAATTGAAGGAAAAAAAATTGATTAAAAAATATTAAGCACAATTATCCTAAATAAATGAAAAATGAGGTCTAAAAAGTCGATTTAAGAAATTAATGGCATATATACTATTATTTAGTGCGGGACCAGCGTGGTCACCCCATGGTTACCAACTTAGAATCTCTAAGATTTTTTTTCCTTTCAACGTCATTAACTTCAACTATGAGATATTATTATTACTATTTTATAGGGGAAAAGGGAAAATAATAATTTAGTTCCATGTCATTTAATTTTTACCTCTTCTTTTGGAAAAGAGAGAGAGAGAGAGAGAGAGAGAGAGAGAGAGAGAGAGAGAGAGAGAGAGAGAGAGAGAGAGACAATACCACAAACTAACTGCTTGATTTGCTAATTTCTTGCTAAGAAAACCAATTGCAAGTTTTTTTTCTATAAAAAAAAAAAATTACGTACAACAACCATTTTTCATAGTGAAAATGAAAGATGGAATCAAATCAAGTGAAGGAAAAGTGGCCTGCAGCTTACAACATCATTCGCTGTTCACTTCACGATGATTGATAATATCTCAAATTTGTGTTGTGTGTTGATGGTATGATCAAGTATGACCATTTGATCAGTAAATTGAATTTCATCCACAATATATTTAGGACCTTTTTGGAAGAAGACAAGAGATCTAAGAAGAGTTTGAAAACAAAGTTAATTCAATTCCCACGTGTCTGAAACCTCCTCCTAGTGAATTAGCAGCCAAACTTGTGTAAGATATATTTTTGTACTATGTTAATTTTTATTTTTTTATTATTTTTTTTTTTTTGGTTGAGTTGAGCCCACTTTTCCATTTGGAAAAAATTGCACTAACATTTAAGCTATAACACAGTACAATAATTTGCAGCACTATTACGATTTCATTTTTCTTCGTTCCAAGCTGGAATTATTAGCCAGAAAAGAATGAAAAACTTCATTGCTTCAATGGCTCTCCTGGAATGGCAGAAGCAAAGCTTCTTCAATTTTCCCTTAATTTTTGTATTCATATCAGTACTCGCGATCATCCTCCTGAACTTGTTCTTCAGCTTCAGAAAAAAGAACAACAATAAAAGTAGAACTAAACTCCCACCAAGTCCTCCTAAACTTCCACTCATCGGTAACCTTAACCATATTCTAGGTAGTTTGCCTCATGAATCTCTGCACAAACTCGCGAAAAAATTCGGCCCCATCATGTTTTTACAGCTTGGTCAGGTTCCTACAGTTGTGGTTTCATCACCAAGGTTGGCAAAGGAAGTTTTAAGGACTAATGATCATGCAATAGCTAATAGGCCTCAGATTTTCTCAGCCAAGCATCTTTTCTATGACTGCACTGATATGGTTTTCTCCCCGTTAGGCAACTATTGGCGAAACATACGGAGGATTTGCATTCTTGAATTGTTGAGTCCAAAGAGAGTTCAATCATTCAGTTTTGTCAGGGAAGAAGAAGTTGGCAAGCTTGTTCGCCGTGTTGCAGAATCACGCCGTGGCACCACAAATTTAACCAATGCGCTCGCGTTGTATGTGAATAATCTCGTCTGTCGGGTTGCATTTGGAAGGGATTTCTCGGAAGGTGGAGATCATATTAAGCATAACTTCAAGAAGTTACTTGAAGAGTATCAAATTCTGCTTGGAGGATTCAGCATTGGGGATTTCTTCCCTTCTCTGGAGTTTCTGCATAAATTTACTGGGATGGAATCAAGACTTAAAAACACCTTCAGGCGATTCGATCTTTTCTTTGATGAGATTTTGAAGGATCATCAGAATCCTGAGGGAAGTAAAGATCAGAAGGACCTTGTGGATGTTCTACTTGAAGTACAGCAGAAAGAAGATGCTGAGAATCATCTCACCACCAACAACATCAAAGCAATCATATTGGTTATTCTCGGTTTCAACTAGCTTGAAAATTTCTGGAAATGATCATTGATTCATTGTATGTAGCAGGGGATCCTGTTTTCATCTGATAACTTCTCTTAAAAAGTTAAAATATTCTTCGTCTGCAGGACATGTTCGCGGCTGGTACTGATACGAATTTCATCACCTTGGATTGGGCAATGACAGAGCTAATATTAAATCCAAAAGTCTTGGGAAAAGCACAGGAAGAAGTTAGAAACATTGTTGGGGAAAGAAGAATTGTATCCGAAAGCGATCTGCCTCAGTTGCAGTACATGAAAGCTGTTATAAAGGAAACTTTTCGGCTTCATCCTCCAGCTCCAGTATTAGTCCCAAGAGAATCCACCGAGGAAGTGACAATCGATGGCTACACCATTCCTGCTAAAACTAGGTATTTCATCAATGCCTGGGCAATTGGAAGGGATCCAGAAATATGGGAAAGTCCAGAAAAATTTATTCCGGAAAGGTTCGAGAATAGCAATATTGATTACAAGGGACAAGATTTTGAGCTCATACCATTTGGTGCCGGAAGGCGAATCTGTCCTGCTGTTACATTTAGCAAAGCAACTGTTGAGCTCGCTTTAGCTCAGCTTCTTCACAGTTTCGATTGGGAGCTACCTCCGGGAGTGGAAGCTAAAGATCTTGACATGACAGAAGTTTTCGGCATCACAATGCACAAGATTTCTCCTCTGATTGTTATTGCCAACCCACGCTTCCCTGAAGACTTGAGTTAAGGCAAAAACTTTGCATATTGAAACTTTATTCCAGTCTTGAAGTTTCAAAGAGCATAGATTCTTCAATTAAAGTTGCAAGTATAGTTTCTGTATCATCTGAAGCATTGCACTTGTATTACATTAGATCTTTTCCTTCGAATGTCGTATTCTTTGGTTTTGCTGCTTAATGAACAAACAACTCAAATGCTTTGAGAATTACAACTTGATTTCTCTGTTTAAGAAGCTGTATAGCAAAACTTGAACAATGCACCTGCAAAATGCAATGCTGGTGGTGACCACGGCAAGTAGCCAAGTAACACATTTAAAAGATCACGAAGTACATTCACTTGTTATCGAATCTACATTTCTGCATTCTTTAATGCAAAATCACTATTAACATCTTTTTGACTATGTTATTTGAATGGTTTCAACCTATAAAGCTGCAGTTTCTGATTACCACACCAGCTTAAGCTACACTCAAGACACATAATAGGTTCAGAAATTCGTCTAGAGGTTTTGCTGTTGGACTACAAGTCTACAACCAAGTCACAACTTCACCACATCATGTTGCGGTCTGACCTCAATATTGAGGTTCGCATAATTTATCTTCCAAGTCACAAATTCAAGTATTAGGGGTAAACCCAATAAAACTGCAGTATGATACTCTTATCCGATTTACCTTCATGCTTACAACGGCTTTACAAAAATAACAACTCATCAACCAAAACTTCACGTGAAGATCACAAGACAAACATCAATGTTTATATCTCTCAGAGTGGTCATTACATCCACTAAACTAACAGCCAAGGCAGACAATGACCTATAAACATCACCTTCGAAGCTTCTAGCAAGGTCTCTAAGCTAGCAGGGAAGCCATTTACAAAATGCTGCTCCCTGGAATTCCTTATAAACTAGCAAGAGATACCTACTGCACTTTTAAACCTTGAATATAACGCCCCACTTGCTGTGCTCCAATATACAAGGCATCGGCGGCAAGTATAACACCAAACTGCACCAAAAGAGTGTCACAGTCAATTCATAAGAACCACTATTGAAACAAATCTAGGAAGGTCTAAGAATATCGTTTCACCAGACGAGCAGTAAAAACTAATCGATAACCCAACCCTTCCTTGGCAGCTGCAGCTCGCTGTTGGTCCGTCCAACTAATATACAACATGCAACCAAAAAATAAAAGAGTAAGAGTAAGGTGTTTGGTTGTAAGCTATAATTCTTGGTAAAGGTAAGGGACCACACCAAAAGAACAAAAAAAACAAAAGTTAAAGTATGAGGTATGCTTCAATGCTCTGGGAAAGTCATTCTTTTCTGCTGTCTTCAGTTTCAGTAAACCCAGGTTGCCTTCTAGAGTACTGGAAATAAACAAGCCATTTCAGGAATATGAATCTTATTAAGAAACTTTATTTTCTTTGTGATGGGCAATTAGGCATTGATGGCTTGCTTCATTCAAGTATCTGTTTCAACAGGCATCGCCCAGTCAGTAAGCTTACAGGATAACATTCTCCTTTACATTGCACATACTACTATCTAACCAGTAAATTAATTCAAACTTTCAAGCCGTTGTTGCCTGGATCTGAAAATTTAGATCGCTTGAAGTCTTGTATCAGGGGAAGAACTCGGAACTAATGTTCTTTCCCTCTTTTCTACAGTTGCTGTTTGACATATATTGAACCAGAATAAAATAGATGATAGTCAAACCCTCTGTGATAATGGTACCATCATCTAACCTTATGCATATACTTCTGACCCTCTTTACCAAAGTAAAGAAATCAAACTAAAAGTGAGAAAAAAATGGCTACTGCAGAAGCAAGGTTTATCTATGGTGCTGAACAAAAACATGGCACGTGACCTAAATATCATATCTTCGAGAGATATTGTAAAACAGTCACCACATGAGTTGTAGAATGCAGATAGCAACTAGCAAGGTACTACATTCGAACTAAAATAGTATTTCCCCTCTCCGAAACTAAAAAGTACTGAAAGGAAGGCAGAGACACGAAAGTAATTACCCCAGGAACTCAGATACTCCACCAATTCCAGCAAACTTAAATGGCTGAGGACCTTCACGTTCAAGATCCTGTTCCAGAATGCATACACAGAAAGAAGTTAGATTTCCCACCAAATCAGAAAGACACAAGAAAAACAACCATGGCAAAATAGAGTAGGTGAGAGAACTGTAAATTCTTTGCAACATTATAATACCTCCTCTTCTGCAGCCTCGAGACCACCTTGAATCCAGAAAATGTTTTTGTAACCAGCATTGTATAGAAGCTCACAAGCTGCTAGGGATCTATCTGATTCAGAAAGAGTTAAAAACAAACCTAAGTAAATTAGTAATTTGCACAAGAGTACCATTAATACAGGTTCACAAATTATGAAAATTTCACATATTCGAAGTAGCCTGTTAAGAAAGGCAAGGATATGATTGTCACGATGTATTAAACTATATAAACAGATCTCATTCCAAACATTGGAAAAGTAATTGAATGTTTCACACACAAAATCCAGTTTTTCGATCCCAGTAATTATTCAGTTCTTCCACGTGACTACATTTTCTCAATATGGTTTGGATATCTCAGCTGGGAACCCCACAGTTCAATGTAAGTCCCCTTTTCCATCCCCCTTTAAAGCATCGATAGTCATAATCCTTAGTTACGCTACTCAAAACTGGAATTCATTATATATCACCATTTGCCTTGGCAACAAAAAGAAAAAGATTGTGTTGACCATGGAGTTTCCTAATAATATGCCCTATGCAGCAAAATGGAACAATTTGTTGGAAGGACCCACGCAAGGGACAAATTAATTGAAAAGCTAATCAAATTAATTTTATATTGTAAAGGCTGTGTACCATTTGATTTACAGAAGTTACTACCTTTTGGTGATAATGTGCGACTGCATATAGTTGAGAGGAACTCTTGTAAATCCCCACTACACTCAATAAAGTAGTGACCTTTCATGGATTCACTCTATTGCAATTCATTGTTTAAGTAAACGGGAAACTCAAACATTGAAGCCCGTAGCCGTTCTGGTTAAATTCAAAACCACTTTTTAACTGCCCTTTCAATATCAAAACAGAAAAGCTAACAAGATACAGAAAGAGTACAGGAAGATAACAAAGTGGCCGTAAGAGTAATACTTTATCCTTTACGAGCGCCCAGACACCGGATAGTGCCCAGACAGAGCTGATGTTTCTGATTATTTAGGTCAGGACTTATCCAGGAAACTAATTAGGCCAAGGAAAATATTTGAGACGAGTATTCCCTTAGTCAACTTCAAATTACAGAAGCTATATAACAACAACAACAACATACCCAGTATATTCCCAACTCGGTTTCCGGCAACTTCACCAAATTAAGAAGCGTCGGGATTTAAATGAGCCATTTTGATCTAATCCACTATTAGCACAGAAGCTATATAAGATTTTAAAAAAATATATATACTCAGCATAATATTAGTACAGTTTCTGATTCAGAATTTACCTCAAACCCTTCTGGCAAGCCACTATAATATCAGTATCTTTCGAAAATTTCTCCTCAACTTGCGATAAGAAATTTCTGTTGAGAAAATGAAGAAATCAACAAAAAGAACATGTTCATTAGTTGTTCAAAAATTCCATATTGTACATAAAGAATGAACAGTCTGAATCATACTTTTCATAAGATAACGCCGGCACACCACTCCACCAACCTCCTGGAAAGGATGAATCGACATAAAATAAGTCAGTAATAAGAAATCAACATACAGGCAACAATAAAAGAAAGATAATTTGCTCAAGTAGTAAGAGCATTATTGGAACAATTATTCATCAAGAAATATAGTGGCACAGGTACTTATTTTAAGGACACTTCAGGCATCATTTCGGTTTCAAGTTACTTGTAGTAAGGTTTAATACTTTTTCACAAAGGACGAGAACATAAACGAGTGTGGATTTTCATGCTTCAGACTGTCAGCCGGAAAAGGCTGTTACCAAGATGTCAATTGAGCGCATGATGGAGAAGTTCTGAAAAAGGATGCGTGCACATACCCATTATAAAATTTGTCACTTTCCTCGAAACAGTACCAGCATCAAAACTGTTATCAATGTCAAATATGGGGATCCAGGTTGAGCCTTTTACCCATGCCTGAAAAGAAAAGTATGATGCAAAATACACTCAATTAGTACCCCTGTTGGGATTGAGGCAAAGAGAGTAGCTCGGCCACTGTTTTGTTTTTAGATAAGCCAAGTACTAATCAATTTCAAGGCAAAAAAGAATTTTGCATGACATTCTTCTGTCTTGGATATCCATCAAGCCGGAATTGTACAATAGGAGTCTAATTATTCTACTAACAGATTTCAGATTGAAAACAGGAATCTGTACATATGTACCTTTGTGCGTTCAGTAGATGGCCGGACGTCAAGAAGCTTTGTATTTGAGAGTTGAATGGCATATCCAGCTTCTCGTGGTGTCAGAATTTTGACTTTCCCATCCCTAATCTAAGACAATCAAGTTAAAGCCACCAAATGAATCATTATAAGAACCAGAAACATGGGACTGAATAAAATTAACCTCTAATCATACTTTGACAAGTTATGAACAAATCTATCTAGTCATAAAAGATGGATCCCAGTGAAAAAGTATCAAATGAAAGCATCAAAAGATGACAATGTCAAGCTTAGTTTAGGCTTCCTTAAATAACCAGAGCATCAGCTTTCCAATGGAAGCAAACAGCAGGTTAGAAATTAAGATTATACTCTAAACAAGTCATTTCTTTTCCTGACTTTTGATCTACGCAGCAGTGAACTGGTATATGAACCATATTAGTTGGTGAGATGTACACCCAACAAATTGCTAACTAAGCAGCACGATTATGATCAGGTTGCAGGAACTTACAGTTTGTGCTTACATATATTAACCAAATATGCTTTGTTATCTTCTTAGCTTTTACCTATATAATATATATAGCCTTTTTATGATGCACATCTTTGTAAAGAGAATCATTTGAATACATGTCATGCACCACTAGACGATGGTCAAGAGCATGAATATGATAAAAGGCAATGCCATGTCAAGTGTTAAGATGAGAGATACTCCAAAGTTTTAAACAATATATAATCCTTTCCAAAATAAAAGGTAACACCTAATGAATATGATTGTCTGCCATCCCAATCATTAGTGGTCAAACAGCATCGCAGACTTGAGATAATAGCATCAGGGCAAACAAAACAAGGATTTGAATAAGGAACTTTAAAAACACATAGAGAGTAATCACAAACCAACGTGAGCAATAATAAAGCATGTACAGGGATGAATCCCCACAGAAGTTTAACTAGTTTAACTCTAGCAAAATTTGATGGTGTTCTCCAACTAGTCAATGGAGTTTGGACCTTTCAGATAGTGGACAATGGGAAGGGACTATTGAGAAAAACCCCTTATCAACAGACCAACGGAGAGTAACTAGCAGCTAAGAGTAGAAGTTATCAGGAGATATTCGTATGAAAAGATATTTATCTCCATGCTTCCAGCCTCTTCAATACGTATTCGTTACGGGACAAAAGGCAAAAAAAGGTTAACAGGGACAAAGTGCTCGATAATCCAACAGCAGGGCAAGATAATTGGGAAACTAACTACAGAATGTATAATGGTAGTAAAACTTTATGCTTTCTACCATAAAAGTCACTATTTTACAAGGAGCAAACTAGCTATGTGCAATGACAATAAGGTGCATAATAGTGGTCAGACGAATCACTTGCTCCTGATAGATTGTGGCACCGAGTCACCTAAGGTTAAATGGGAAATCACAATGCTCCCTATTTGAAACCAAAAGAATTGCACTCATTAATTACCACCAAGACCAAAGAGGCAGCCACTTTTCGTCTTTGTTCCTGAACCTCAAACCCCCTCTACCTTCCACATGAAAGAGAGAATTAAGTGGCACATCATCAGTTAATCCATTCTAGACTGTTACGTTCGTTAAGGACAAAATATCATTCCCCCAACTACAAATAATCTGTGCAAAGGAATAAGCATAAAGTACCAAAGAAATCAAACGATTATGATAATGAAACACATCAACTGCTGACGAAAACACAAATGCAAAACCATTACCATTGCATCCCATCTTTTTCTCGCAGCAGCCATATCTTTAGCTTGCTTCACCTCATACTCTTCTTCAACCACCTGCATTCTTATAGCGCTCTGAAACTGCAACAAAAACCGAAAAAAAAAAAAAAAAGAACCGTAATTGGCATATTTCCGAACGATCACCCCAAAAAAAAATTAAAAAAAAAATCAAACAATATAGAAAGCAACATTAATCGGTGAAAAGTTCAGAAATCTTGAAGTGGGGAAAAACGAACGTTTTGATGGACTCTGAATTTAGATGGTGGCATCCTTGAAGAAGTAAAAACATGGGTTGAGGTCAGAAGCTTTGAACTTTGCTGTTGATGGGTACTGCTGAGAGCGGTGAAGGGTGAGAGGCCTAGACCCAGAGCTTCCATTGCTGAGACTGAGAGTTAGAAAAAAGATTTCTGCTCAAAAGCTTGAATTTGATTAAACGTTATCCACTTCAGTCGCAGAAATCCCAAAAGAAAATTAGGAAGAGGACAAGGGATTCATTTTAGTCACTTTCTGTGCAGAGTGCCAATAGTAAACGGTTATAAAAGTGTTTTTCCTTTTTCTTTTTAAAAGAAACACACACTTACTTATAAGTGAGCTGTCATATTTACCCAAAACAAACAAGTGAACTAGTATCACATCACACGATCAGATATATATATATATATATGTACAGTAATAATCTACATTACGGAATGTTGATAGATTAGCAGCATATTTGATAATAAAATTGAAACTTTTTATGAATTAAATGGGACTAAATATGTAGTAGTACAAAATATAAGTAATAAAAATTCTAGATTTCAGTTGTCTTTCTTTTACTGAACCGTTCCTTTAAAATTTAACCAGTCAAAATTAAGAGCATAACATGTATTCATGGGGTGAGAAACATGATAACACATCTCAAAATAGTTTTAATTTTGTTTCAAAAACAAAAAAAAAAAAACAATTCTGGCCCGCAACCCGCGGGTTGACCCAACCCGCATGCTGTTTTGACCCATACGGATTGGTCAAACGGGTAGTGGGTTGGAACGGGTCGCGGGTTGAAACGGGTGAGAAGGAGACGGGTTGGGTTGTCTCAACCCGCGGGTTGAAACGGGTCACAAAGAAAAACACAAAAAGTCTCTTATTTCGCAGCATTCATTGGAGTCATCAACGCTTTTCCATAGCTTCCATCGCCGACTGACCTTCCGGATTTGTCAACAAAACAAGAAGAGCCGAAAAGAACTCCTTTTATCTTTCTCCAAGTGATTATATTCAGGATTCATAACTTTGTATATTCTAAAATTCACAAAAAAAAAGAATGAAAATTAGATAAAGCAAATTGCAGCAGCTAATTGAAAAAGTTTGGGTTCTGGGGTGAGGGGAGGGGAGAAGGATTGGGGCGGCGGCCCGAAAAAGTGAACACGTGTAGGGCTTTTAATGTTAAGGTTTCGGCCGAAAAGAAAAACAAAAAAGAAAAAGGGTAGGTTGTGGGCCGCGGGGAAGTTTGATTTCATTTGCCAAAGTTTTCTTTTTCTTTCTCGTATACCATGAATTAGTTAAAATTAAATTTTTATTTTTATTTTTGCATAACCATGAGTTATGGGTAGGTTCTGATTTTCTTAATAAATTTCAGAAATTGTTGCACTTATTTGTTTTTTTATTAAAAAAAAAAAGAGTAATTAATGTGGATGTGACAATTATAAGTCGAATAAGTTAAAAATTAAAAGTGTATGACTTATTTCATAAAAAATACCAAATTGTGTATTGTGTCAACTCAGTTCGACCCATGGGTGACTTAGTGAAATTGGCGCGAAACGTGAAAATTTGAAGTCTAATGAGTTATAAAAAAAAATGAATTTAGATTTTATTTAGAAAAGAATCTCAATTTGACCCGCATATCGCGGCCCGGTTATTAGGTCGACTCAATTCGACCCGTGGATCGACCCAATTAAACTTGGTTCGAAACGTGAAAATTTCAAGTCAAAAGAGTTTTAAAAATAAATTTTGATTTTATTTGGAAAAAAATTCTAATTCGACCTGCATATCGTGGTCCGGTTATCTGGTCGACCCAGTTTGGCCCACATGTCGACCAATTCAATTTGGATCGAAACGTGAAAATTTCAAGTCAAAAAAGTTATAAAAAATAAATGTAGATTTTATTTGAAAAAAAAAACTCAATTCGACCTGCATATCGTGAACCGGTTACTGGGTCGACCCAGTTTGACCCACGGGTCAACCCAGTTAAACTTTGCTCGAAACGTGAAAATTTAAAGTCAAAAAAGTTTTAAAAGATAAATTTATATTTTTTTTGGAAAAAAATCCCAATTCGGCCCACATATCGTAACATGGTTACTGGGTTGACCCAGTTCGACCCACGAGTCGACCCAGTTAAACTTAGTTCGAAACGTGAAAATTTAAAGTCAAAAGAATTTTAAAAGATAAATTTAGATTTTTATTTGAAAAAAATTCCAATTCGGCCCGCATATCGTGACATGGTTACTGGGTCGACCCAATTTGACCCACTAGTCGACCTAGTTAAACTTAGTTCGAAACGTAAAAATTTAAAGTTAAAATAATTTAAGATAAATTTTGATTTTATTTGAAAAAAAATTCTCAATTCTACCCGTATATCGTGACCCCGTTACTGGGTCGACCCAGTTCGACCTACGAGTCGACCTAGCTAAACTTGGCTTGAAACAGAAAAATTTAAAGTCAAACGAGTTTTAAAAAATAAATTTTGATTTTATTTAGAAAAAATCCCAATTCGACCCGCATATCGTGATTCAGTTATTGGGTCGATTTAGTTCGACCCACGGGTCAACCTAGTTAAACTTGGCTCGGAACGTAAAAATTTAAAGTCGAACGAGTTTTAAAATACAAATGTAAGTTAGAAAATTTTAATTTTGAAATTAATGTATGTTATTTTTCCAAAAAATTTAAAATTTGTAAATTAACCCAATAAAAACCAAAAAAATATAAGCCATGACACACGGGTCTACTAGCTTAACTTGAGCAGGCTGACCCGCGGGTTGACCCGCAACCCATACTGATCCGTCTTGACCCAACCTGTTTTGACCCGAGCCTACGGCGGGTTGGGTTGGGTCTTGACCCGCCTACTTCCAAAGCCACCTTGACCCACCCCGCCACCGACTCAACCCGCTCTCTTAGTTACGCTGGGCCCCAATGGGTTAGGTCTTGACCCGCCTACTTCCAAACCCACCTTGACCCAATACGCCACCGACCCAACCCGCTCAACTGCCAGGCCTAACTCCTCTCCACCTCCATATGGTTGCCGTTGTTTTTTTTTATTTATTTAATTGACATAATTGAGATTAAGAACTCATATTTCTTATTTTGGCATGGTATCCAAACTTTCCAATCCCTTTGAATTCGGAGAATTGCCCTTATCGAGTGGATTGTTTCAAGCCTCGTATATTTAGCTCCAAGATTTCGTAAGGCTTGAATTGATGATTTAATATGATTTGAGTCTATGAACTTCAAGCCAGGTTGATCTAATTAGTTTGAAATTTTCGTAACTTTGATTCATCTTTATGTCAATAAAAATTGATCTTGTTGTAAAAGAAGGATGAATGAAACAGAGGGATAAGGAAAAAAGTTGATGACAACTCTAATTATGCACTTTGCTATAGATGAAAAAGATATACTGATTTGGGTGCTAATTGTTGGTTGTTGTTTACAGGCATGGGCATCCAAAAAAAAAAAAAAAAGCTATCAAGATTTTGGTTCATATGACTTTTAAGGAAGAAGAAGGCGTGGCTAGAGGATGAAGAAGATGGGGTGGCGGCAGCGGAGAAGTGTTTTTTTTTCTTTTATTATGCAAAAGATGAAGGTTTAATGATTACTTTGTAATAATCAAGTGTAATTGGTGTATATCTTTTCACTACACCTATTTTTTAATCTAATGGTTGTCATTTAATCATGATCATCTTACAATTATTAAATTTGACTGAAACCATTCAGTCGACTGGACTGTAACTCTCATAAAAGTTAACTTATTACTTATTATTTAAATATTTAGAGAATTTAGTAATTCTAATTCAGTATTAAGCATTCAAAATTAAGTATTATTAATTTTTATCAAACAGGCCAAGGTCTTTTCCAATGTAGGCATCAGAACAACTTCCAAGGTAGCAATGCCGGAAGAAACGCAATCAATTTAAGAGATGAATTTAAGTAAATGGATGGAAAGCACGAGACTTTAGGGTAAACGCAATCAATTTACTTGAGTCAAATCAACAACATACACTAAATTTGATCAGCGATAATTTTTTTTGTTGGAAGTAACTCGTTATATTACTCTACCAAGCTAGTGTAGTCCGTATGAAGTAGACATTTATTAAGTCGTCTCCTACGCGTTCCCGGCGTATACCTATCAAATAAGCCAATGCCTCGGACTGTGGTGCATTTAGAGCATGATAACTCCTCAGTGCCCGATGCAATCAAAGCTACCATCACTGTTGATGAGCTCCCTAGCTTCCGCGCCTTGATTTTGAAATTCCTTGAACGCACCATCTGTTCTGATAATGCATTGGACTTCCGGGGCGTGATTTCCAGTTGTTGCTGCTGCTGAACTCCACTGGAAGTGTCTAGGGCTGCTCCAAAATTTGCCATTCCTTCACTGCAAGCACATTGATGCTTCAAGGGAGCAGGTTAAAAAGCATGCTGTATGATTTCATCGGGAGCGGACATAATTAAACTTTCCAACCATGCTGCGAAACTACTGTAGGAAGTTGCACCAGAGTTAGAGCCAAGAGAGGAATCAACCATATAAGTGATTTCTGTTATGTGTTTACTTTCCCACTGACACTTAAAAATACTACTATCACGACTCGCAATCTCCAACAATGCTGGTTTTCCATCAATATTCAATAGAAAATATGATTATCTACGGAACAACAAAACAAAAACAGTGAATCATTTCCATTCAGAGCTGAAGTGGTAAATACAAAAAATGACTTCTTTTTTACTTTTTATATATCAGTATTATACAAATAAAAAATTGCTACTGGTAGCAGCTACCATTCTAGCACCCACCAGTTTTACTCCTACAGCACCTGTAACCTACTTACTAAAGGACTGAAATCCCAAAAATTCTAATGGATTACAACATGGAAAGAGCAAGATGATCAAGGCTCAAAAATAATATCAAAACACAAACCCCAAACATGTAGTATCACGATTATTTTGTCTTCTGAAAATAGTCGCCAACAGTCAAGTAGACATGCTCTTTCAACACAACATCAACAGGAGGCTGATTCTCTATGCAACTAACAGTAATCTGCAAAGTGTCATTATAGAATCCTGAGTAAGTTGATAATAGCAATAACTAGAAAATTTACAGCATTAACTTGTCAAGGCTAGCTTATGCCAAACAGTGTGCATAGAAAACTAACTTTTTCCTTCCCAAGCTGAAATTCGGACTTCAAATTGGCGTGATCTCTCATCAGCAAATAAACCTGTAAATCTTTCGCAAAATTTGCATTTCCTGCAACAATAAATTCAAAAACACTAAATACCCATCATAACAAGCCCCCTTTTCCAAATAATTGCTTCCAAAGATTACCTTTGTAAAGTGCAACAAGAGATTCTGGAACAAACATCACAGATGGTCTCGCCAATCTAATAGCAAACGAGCAGTTGGAAATCCCATGAAACCTCTCCTCAGCAAGAATGACCTGAAATATGTCAGTAATTTTATGTCACATCGAGCATAGAAAGAAGAAAACATGACCTTTGATTCATTATCATGCCTGTTAGGCAACCTTCAGGAACTACACCATAAGTGATATAAGAAATCATGGAGAAAAGCACTTACAGCATGTGGTGGAATCAATGTGTAAGGTAGCAAAGGAGAACCAAGAGCATCCCTAATGCTTCTTTCCTGCAATACAATATTCAATGAACTTGTCGGCAAGAACATATTTGTAAGAAAGGAGGCAAATTCACTAACATTAATGCTATCCACCAATAGAAGTGTACGAATTTAATTTCATTCAGCACATGACTAACGGAGAAATTCCTAAACACAGCTAAATAAAGGTGGGCAATTGCCGATGCTCAACTTATGAGAAAAGGATACCAAAGACACCCTAAACTTCAGTTTCGTCGGTTAATATGCTAATGGATGTCAGCGAGCAAACTGCCACCAACCTTCCCTCAATTGTAAAAATGATAAAGGAATTATTTTTAGACACCAAGTTTTAATCAAAGGAATAAAACTGCGTCGGAAATACCTGAGAGGCAAGAATCCGTTGAGAATTCGACTTATCCGCATCCAATGACTCAAAAAATACCTCAACAGTATCAGTAAGTTCAAGCCCAGCTTTCTTCCGCAACTTCTGGATCCGATTAACAACCTGTAAACATGATACAGCCATACAGGCATCATCAGAACTATGATCTGGCACTAAGAACATAGAAGTCCGTCGGTGTTGAAAAGTCCATTTGGCTTCTCCCTCCCTCTCCTCCTTTTCTCCCTCTTACACAGTTAAAAAAATAAAGAATATTTCTACAAAGTTACCTCGCGAGCAAACCCAGCTTCAAACAATGATTCATCCTGACGCAAGTCCAATATCACCAAAACATCACCTGAAAATACAGTAGAAAAAGATGGCAATGTAGCTGCAAAACCTACTAAATGATATCAAAAAGCAGCAGGAAGAAATATGACTGAGCAATTTACCATCTCCTGCTGCATCCATATCCTTCTCGTTCACATTATCAGGACGCTTAAAGCCTCGAGTAATCTGCAAGTCAAGGCAATTACTGGTAAGTCCAAAATTGAAAAAGCAAGCTTTAAGAATATGGAGCACTACGTATCTAATTAATCAGGCACATAGAGTGAAAGAACCAAAAACAAATAAGTTGGGTGCAAGATCAAATTGCAACCAGAAACCTCATAGTCTGATAAAGATTACTTAACAACAAACCATATAACACAAAATCCAAGTGACAATCGATGAGTAAGCCAGCACCAACTGGACAAGTACATTTTTACGCCCAGAAGCGCATAACAGGTTTCTACATGTTCATCAGTCTAATCGTCATTCAATGAAGGGTAACAAACAACTACCAAACTTCAACGTTTAGCAGCAGGAAAACTCTTTCCTTCAATTTACACTCAGAGCATTCACATTCTATAGTCAGAATCATCCAGATTTGTGCTATTGCCAACATGTATGAACTGATCAGTCTATTATTCAACAAATCACTCTTATCAAAGGGCACTTTTAGGCTTGCTAGTACTCTTTTGAGACTAAATTGCTAGGGTTAACTTGAATAAGGCTTGCTAAAAGGTGTGCGAAATAGAGTATGCTTCATGCAGCTACCCTTGGATCCAAACAACTGCCTTTCTTTGCTAAAAGGCGTGCTAGCCTTTTAATGTCGTCTTATTTGCTAGCTGATTTGCAAAAACTAAGTGGTGTACCCATAAAAAGAAAACAACTGCCTTGTCCAGTCATTAAAAGTCCTTTCCCTTCAGAATATGAACCTTTGCCTGGTAGTGTGTCTCAGAAATAAAATGACATCCAAACAAATTTTCATCTTTTCGAAAATCAATAATTCCAGCAAAATCTTTACATTGTTTGAAACATTTTCTGACAACACAATTTTTTTTTCTTTCTTCTGGTTCCCTTTCTTCCAGAATAATATTTCTCACAAGCGATTCTTTTCATCTTTTCGAAAATCAATAATCCCAGAAGAATCTTTACATTGTTTGAAACATTTTCCGACAACAAAGTTTTTTTTTTTTTTGGTTCCCTTTCTTCCAGAATAATATTTCTCACAAGCAATTCCGTCAAGAAGGAAAAAACAAAACAAAGGAAATCAAGAGAAAAAGAAAAGATACAGATCATAATTAGTGTTTCAACCATAAATATTAACTGAAAAGTGAAATATGGTAAGTTTGAGGGGGAAGCATATCCATGTGACCAAGTTTGCAGCAACAAACCTTAATCTCACTGAGCTTGAGAGAATGCGAAGAGATGACAATCTCTCCAGATCTCTCAAAGGCTAAAATATCTTCAGTTGTCATTGCATTGACCTTTTTCTTAACATCTCCCATTGACTTGCCCAGTCTTCTTCCCAATACACTATAGATAAAAACAGAGTAATTTTAAAGTACAGTGTCGATCTGCAGAAAAATTTACACCAATATGGACAACCATACCTGAAATCAGGTTCTGCACGGAGCGAGGCATACTTCAACGTATCATTGCAAGGAACCAATGATTTGACGTTGAGTTCCTCGAGGACATACTACAATGTAAAAATGAATAAATAAATAATAAATTACACAAAATTCAGCATAAAGAAGCTAGAGTTTTGAAAGTCAACATCAGACTCTAAACAACACCACATGGAAATCTACAGAAATCATCTGCAAGAGCTGTACTACATATACATGAAAATTAGTCAAGAAATCTTAGCCATTTCATGAACCCTAGTTTAAGGAAGCATTCATATAAGTAATTCTGGAAAAGCTGAACTTTTTCAATTTGAACTTAAATGTGGAACAGCAAAGATACAAACTCACACTAGAAAGAAATAGAACTGAAAATCTAGCATTTTTAAGCAGAAAATGAGTTTAGCCCATATGCAATACATTTTCTCCACTACACTCTTTGAAAAAGCATATGCTAAAGCCAGACAAAAGATGAGTAACAATGTCAGTTCAAAAGTTCCTAGAAAAAAGCAGCCTTGAAGGATCACTTAAATTAGGCAGATCATGAAAGCTTAAGCAAACAATAATAATACCCAATTGTGCTTTACTCCGGACAAATAATATAGTGTTAAAAGTTAAATAGAGTGGAAATCAAACTGTCCTCAGGTGAAGGGCAGAAGAAATTATCTTTCACATTGTATATTAAATACATTTTTAATTCATACAAGTGCAATCACAAACCTCTTTAAGTTTCCCAGCAATGTCATCCAGAAATTCAGTATCAGGATGCACAATCACCATCTCCCTGAGAAAGGATAAAAGTAACTTAAATGAAGCACAAATACAGTAACAATGAAGATAATGGAATCCTACTTCCCCACAAGTGTAGGGTCTTAAGCTGTACATGTCACCAAAGTTTCAATGGACAAGATAATTAAACGCATATAAGATATAAGAAGAGGAGAACTACCTAAGTGGAGTCTTAAGCGGTTTATTGTGACGTTCACGGATATTACGAGCAAGATCAATTATAGTCATCATCCGGCTCACACTTTTCTCAATGCGTTCACCTCCCTAAGATGATACAAATTAAGAAACTGAGAACTTAATAAACGTCCTTAACATCAACAAAGGAGAATGGCATCGGAATACGAAAGTCCGCAGCACCTTCCCATTAACTTCAGCAGAAGTGTCTGTTCTGCATTCACCTCCCTGATATCGCAGTAGAAAGAATCAATGTCAGAACTAGATCTAACACAATTGAAAATCTAATCACATCTCAAAGACAAAACTCAGTCATACTTTCTCTTCTACTCCAGGGAAAGTGCAGTAGTGAATGCTTTCTTCTGATCCAACGCAGACTTTACGCAAATTCTGATAAAGAACCTCCGTGAAGAAGGGCGTAAACGGAGCCATTGCTTTACATGCTGTTACAAGCACCTGTACGAACCAAGGTAGCAGGAGGTAATAATGAGAATTTCACACAATGGTACAATACAATAGATATAAAATAACGTAACTGTAATTGAGAAAATTCCATTTCAGAAAAGAGATTTGCTACAAAAGATGTTTCACACACCACCCATTCAGGAAGAAAAATAAAAGAAAAACACAATACAGTTGAGATAACGAAAACAGCCAAAATATGCAGGTTCAAGGGAAGAAAACACAAGCCGCTCGGATGACAACAAAAGCTCAGGTAAAGCAGAAAGCTTAAAATGAGTACTTGAAAATAAATGCAAACGTACATGGTAAAGGGTTGACAGCGCAATTCTACAATCTTTTTCATCTGTACGACCTTTCAGTCTCTTTCGGTTGAACCGAACGTAAATGTTGGTCAGGTTATCTAGAAATTTGAGGAGTTCAGGGACAACCTAACAGGACAAAATGAAACAATAAGTTAGTAAATATCATCGACATAACTGAATAGCGTCCCTCCCAATATAGTATAACCCCATAAAACAAAGATAACATAAACCATTCTCATAAATAAATGAATCCAAAATGGGGTTGGCTGGGAATGTGGGGATGGTTATTACCGCGAGGTTGAGGTTTTGATTCTTGCTAGAGCTATCCAATTCTTAGGGGGGGAAAGAAACTCCAAAATAAAATTCCTATCTTCCCCACCCAAACAGGTTCCCACTGACATGAAAATGGCAGTATAACCCGAGTAATTTGCCCATGAGTAATAATCCAATTATCATAGAAGTCATAGAACAAAACAATTGCTGCTGATCTTGCCAATAACTACAGGAAATAAGAGAGTTTGTTTCTGGTATAAATAAAACTACAGCACAATGTCTGTATCAAGAAATCAAAATCAGCAACTACGTGTATTAAAAGTTACTATATAGTACCACTTCAAGAGTTACTACATCAACCGATACATGTAATTCCAGCAATGGCCAACACGTACTGTTCCTATATTTATATGATTATAGTAGACCATAGAACAAAATTTAGCTAAATCTTCCAAAGGAGCCAAATGACTTTCTTGTAATTCCATGGGAAATTCTTTTAAAAATTAATGTCTACTAATTATCACAGAAAAAATTCCAGAAAAAAGGTTGACATGATCAGATGTTATGTTATAGGTTCGTTTTCCAGCAGAAGACATACTGTGTAGAGTCTGTAAGCATCCATTTCCTTCCGAACAAACTGCACAAGGCGGTGAGTTGCGGCATAGATCCACTGATCAAGTACATTTGGAGATTTCTGTAGAGTGCCTTGATCAATAGGGGCAAATGGAGCAAGACCCTCAACCTCCAGTCTTTTCGCATTTTGCACCAGGAATCTATAGGCATTATACCATGGAAGAAAGACATCTTTCACCTGAAGAAAGAAAACTTAATTAGCATAACAAGCAGAGGAACATGCACATCAGAAACAACACCATGCAGGCTCAAACTTTATGATCCTAAAAACTTCGAAGTGCCATGAACATAGCTTTGAACAATGGAAGGTTGATTTTTCTCAAAGAAGACTAACCACACCGTAAACTCCCTCTTTCTTAAAACGCAATGGCTCAGCTCGAACAACAGGAGAGTTTATGATGTACAATCGTAATGCATCCTGAAAGGAAATTTGAAGTTAACGCATTCAAAAATAGCACCAACAAGGCTCAAGTAAACAAAGCTGAAATTGACGAGCAGGATGGGGGTCAACACAAAAAGGAAAAGCAAACAATTAAGAAAAAGAATTTAGTAACACTTACAGCACCATAGTCATTAATAACTTCATCAGGAGGAGGATAGTTCTTTAATCTTTTACTCATTTTTTTGCCATCTTCAGCCAGAACAAGTCCATTGCAAATCAGATTTTTAAAAGCAGGTTTGCCAAATAAAGCAGTTGACAAGACCATGAGAGTATAAAACCTGCAAGAGAGAAAAAGGGAAGTAAGGTCCCCCTCCAGTTTTCACCAGGACTTGCAAACATTTATCCCACAACAGTAATATCGTCACCAATCCTGAATGTTTCTATGCTTTAGGATGCCTTGAATGTAACAATCACTCTGTTAAATTCTTACAACAAACTATTACAAACGGAAGACAATAATACTTGAGACAATGGACAATGGACCAACATGTGTCAAATACTACTTGGAACCCGAGATTTCCCCCAACGTAAACCCTCTCTATATTCTAAGATTTCATTAAACAAAAGTGGCCCCTCTTCATAACATGAATACAAAGACACAGAATTAACAACGACGACATCAAAAAGCCTTTTTCCCTCTGGTCGGCACACATAATCAAATGAATGGAAAAATTTATCAAACCTCAAGTATGAACGTGTACGACTTATCCAAACATGCGTAACACCAGGACAATCGAGAAAATTCTTTCCCCTAACATCATTACAGAAGAAATCAACTCACCATCCACGAGTCTGGTCCAGCCCTTCGGCTACAAAATGGCCAGGGAAATTATTTTCAAATAGTTCAACATTCTCAAAGGGATAGTGAATGTAAGCATAAGGCATCGATCCACTTTCAAACCAGCAATCAAATACCTGGTACAAGATAAAGAAGAAAGTCAGAGCAAGTGGAGGTAGCATAATGTTAAACAGTGAAAATGAGAAGATACAGCTCAAACACATGAACATTAACCGCATTAATAAAGATAATAGACCAATCATTCAGACGTGGAACTCAAACAAATGAGCCAAACAACATATCAGTTTTTAGTTTGTTGCTTCAAACTATAATGAGGTATAAAAACACAAAGCAATTTTTTAAAGACTGTTGCCTTCCAGCTATAATTTAAAAAAGCACTGCTGAGATTCATAATTAAAGAAATGCTTCAGGACAAAAATACTGGTCTTACATCCTCCACACGACGAAGAACACCAAATTCTGGACCGCGAGGAGATGGAATAGTGATGTGATCAATCTTGTGACGATGTAAATCTGTCACCTGCATATTAGAAAGTGATGAGAGGAAGAGCTGAGTGGCATTGTACATTGTACATCCCTAAGATAAGATACTTTGGGCGGCGTACAAGAAAAGAAACAACATCCTGGTAACCCAAGAGTAGAAAACATTTTTAATTGATATTTCCGAGTTACCCAATCAAGCCAGTTTATCCAAAACATTATTAGTTATTGCGACGGTATGATTGTGGGCAGTTTTCAAGGGAAAATAGAAGCTCTACATGCGTGCATACACATGTAAAATCTAATAATAGCAAACCTTAACACCAGAAAGCTTCTCCAGTTTTTCAATCGAATCCATAACCACAATATCTTCACCATCTTCACTGATCCAAATAGGGAGTGGAGTGCCCCAAAATCTACTTCTACTGACAGCCCAATCTCTTGCATTTTCAAGCCAATTGTGGAAGCGCTTTTCCTATAACATAGAGCCTATATGTTAATATCAAAGCTAAACAACAAGCAGCATGGTCATACCAAATTCAAAAGAGAACATGATTTTTGTTGACCGTCAAAAGTTTGATGTACAAATTAAAAGATATATAACTGTCGTGTATGTTTGCACCAAAAAGCTTAGGACACACAGAATCAGAGCTTAAGTTTGGTTTTTTTTTTTTTTTTTTTTGCATATTGCACAGTGTCCACCATCGGCAACAGTGACTAATCCCCCTTGCTTAAGTTGAGGTAGTAGACCCCGCCAAAATAAGGTAAAAATGTTGACAGGCAGAGCACAAAGAAAAAAGAAATACGTAGAAGAGAAAGCTGGACAATATTTGATATGATCCCATAAATATGGAGTGGAATTTGAGTTTCAGATCTATATAATCCATGCTTCACATTGAACAATGATTTCTAACTGGTAATGTAAGAAAATGTAATCCTATTAGACAATCTTCCATACCAAAACTACCCTCTAAAGGGAGTAACACGAGAGAGAGAGAGAGAGAGAGAGAGAGAGAGAGAGAGAGAGCTCCTCAGCTACACAGTAAACTCGGGATTACAAGTTTCAAACCGCCAGAATGAGTAACCACACCACAAGGAAGGAAAAGAAAAAAATCACCATTGACACTATTAAAAGCAAATCTTGTGCGCCAACTGATGATCCTACAAATTACTTGAATAAAAAATCTAGAAGCCCTATATTTATTGGAAGAACAAGCAAGGAAACAAACTAAATGGAAACTATAAGCATCTTCACGATGCCAAAGACATGAAGCGCTCAAAAGGAAAAATGGATTGCTAGGGTGTCCTTTTCATGTGAATGAATGAGAAAGGTGAAAAAACACAATAATAGGCTCAAGAGAGAAACCTTCACAAATTCTGGAACCCAATAGGTCTCTTTGTTGTTCTCCAACAGCTGATCCTTTATCTTCTCCACTGCAACGAACCTATACATAAGATTAAAAGCAATTCAATGTGTCAGTAAAACGGGAAAAGAAAAAGAAAAGAGCACTGCAATTGCACTGTGACAATAAAAATCCAGACAGACTACTCCGGCGAAGCAATCAACTATATATCAATTGTTCACGCCTTCAAGATGACAAAGCATCGGCATTCTAAAAAATGTTAATACACAAATCAACCAACTATTTCTGCAATAAAAACCAATCAAAGCAGCATAACTCTAAAGAAGCCCATCGTTTTCACAAGGACTGCAGGGAATTGATGGAGGAGATTGTTTTGCGGTCATAAAGGTATCCAGAACTTCGGAAATTTTCTTACGACATCAGACAGGCACTCCAATGTCTAAATTACCTGAAATGCCATTCAGGTGTCACTTCATACCAGAATCCCACACCCTGACGGTTAAACATTTGGAATATAACATAAAACTACAAATAACCAAAACTGAGAAAAGAATGACTAATGGTGTTGAACTGTTCAAATACAATCAAAAATTGTTGAGAATTCCATCTTGTTCTTCTGGGGCATGGAAGAACCATTCTAAGGGAGATCACATGAGTTATTAATTGCTTTTGTGGGAAACCCAAAAAATACTTAAAGGTAATACTTCTACCCACGCAACAACAATACAACGAGCTTTTTAGGGAGCTTAAACCAATCAAACATCAATTTTCTGCAACAAAATAACTTCTTGACCACAAAGGAAGTAGACTCAAAGAATAACTTCCTTGTTTAGACAGAAACCTATCAATGTTATAAGTTGCAGAAGAATACAAGTCACCCAATGAAGAAAAAATAAGGGCATTTAAAATATGGGCATACCAACTGGGAACTGCTCTGTAGATGAGAGGGGTATCGGATCTCCAACAAAAAGGGTAGGAATGGGTAAAGCTTCCGACTTTGACAAGTCTGCCTTTATCCTGCACAAGGCAAACCACATTCTCATTTCAAGTGGGCAATCGAAAAAACAATCCACGAACATAATTTGTTAAGAAAGATTAAGCAACATTTTAAACAAATTATCTCCTGGATGATGATGGAAAACTACCTCCACAAATGGACAAATTTTAATCATGAAACAAATAAATTGCAATCTTAGTAAACCAAAAGAACAACATCAAAGAAACAAATGGATATCAACGACAAAGCACACGCTGTCACATGTAACACAGATTAACGAACTACCTTTACCAAAAGATAACACTACAGGTAAAAAAAAGATACAAGTATTGTTTAGGCCCTTGCCTTCACTGCCTGAATTATGTCCTTATCTGCATCTTTGACATAGCGGCCGGAAAAATCAGTGATCCTCTCAGTGAAACAGCCATCATCATCCACTGCTACGACCAAGTTCTCTCCCTAATGCAAAACAGCCTCCATTAGGTGTCAGGAAATAAAAGAAATGTACTTGCAAGAATAGAAATACAAGTTTTAGATGAGAACTCAAAGGTGAAAAACTAACCACACAACAGCATCACAACTGTCAGCAAATAGGTGGTATTTCAAGGAACATGGAAGAGAAAAGCAATAACCGCGGGGGGGGGGAATAAATGGAAATTTTAGATAGACTTTAACATTACGCCAATGTTTTAAGCACTTCATAACTTAAGAATCAGATTTGTCTAAGCCTTTGTGCCTAGTGCCTACTCTAACAGCAATATAACTTAAAGTTAAGGATCAGTCAAGGAATTGGCAAAAATACATGCTTTTATACTATATCCCCAAAACACGGAAACTTCTAGATAAATGTCTCGTCAACTATACTGGAAAAAAGGATAGTTCGTGAAAAAAATTCAGGAGTACCATTAACAGCAAAATTATCAAATCATTTTTTATCCACATGACATTCAGACCTAACCCCCCATGAAGTTTTTACAACCACAGAAAGATTATTAAAAACCAAGGTCAACCAATCAACATTTACTCTTAATCATATTTACACTTAAGCCTAAAAAGTAGTGCAGAAGCACAGGCAGGACAATAATATATATCTTGTGAATCGCATACTGGGATTAAATATCTATGTTAGATATGGAAGTTAATGAAACAAATTACTTCAAACCCCAAAAATAAAAAACTTTACGAGGTTTGCTACCACCAATATGTATTTACAGACACGTAGACTTCCACTCACCTTATTAATTATGTGATTCTCCTGGCAAACACGATAATCATCTTCACCGAAAGCAGGAGCACAATGAACAATTCCGGTACCACTATCTGCCGTAACATAATCATCTGCAACAACTTTAAAAGCCACCTCCGAGAAGTCCCTAAAATAATCAAACAATGGCTCATATCTGCACAACAAAATCAACAAAAAACATTGTATTAACGGGAAGGTGAATGCAAGTATCAAAACATGAGAAATCTACAGTGGAGAACATATATGTTACGTTTGATTTACATTAACCATTTCGAAATGGTAACGTAATAGATTTCTGTAAAGACTATTTGATGTATGAAAGCAGAAGTTGATGGATCAAGGGGAAAAACAATAGACACGTTATCAGTTCATTAGCCCAGATACACCAAAGATCATGAAGCCACACAGAACAGCAAGGTGTCCCTCAAATTAACATATCAAAGAAAGTGTAACATATCTTCCTATGTACATATCATATAAGCTAGTGCCAATCTGCACCAGTATATATAATGAATCATAAGGTTATACAATCCACAATGACAAGAAGAAAGCCCAAAATATTATTAAAGATTGACTCTGGCAGAGAACTGAAGCAACTTTTGACATAATACATATTTCTGTAAATTGCATTCTTTAATTCCTAATCCAGAACCAATTCATGTACAAGTAATAATGATGCGGACAAGGAAAGGTAGAAGGACTCTATCAGTAGGTTCTTCCATTCTTATGCCCAGGATCATCATGCCTATATATATGTACCTTGTTTGAGGGTTTTAGACAGTTTATCAGATTAATAAAACCTGCAAGCTTTTGCTTTCAACAGCAGTTGTGTGATTCAACTAAACCCTTGGTGTGATGCCTAGGAATCCTGCAGTGTGATGCCAAAGGGCCCTAAGCGTGATTCTTAGGTTTTCTTATCTTTCCCTACGGTTTATCTTTGTTTTCCTGTGATTTCTTAGCTTGTTTCCTGACAGATTCTTTTCTTTTTCGGCTGTGTACTACTCAATAATCAGCCTACTCTCTGATTTCTTAACCACCACGTTTGGTGCTGAGTCAAATAAAAAAGTATTAATGGACACTTCCACCTATAGATTAGCGGTACTGATGCCTTAGAGAAACGACAATCAAAAATCTCGGTGGTTAAAAGATAAAAAATGAATAAATAAATATAAAATAAATAAACATCAAAAAAATAAAAGCTATTGGCTACAATAATCCTTTGTTTGAACTTTTCACGTCCAAAAACAAAGAAGGAATATTAGATGCTGCACCAGTTCCAAATCAAATAACCCATATATATATATATATATATATATATATATATATATATAAATGCTGAGAAAATGCTGCCAAAAAAAAATGAGCATACCAAGGGAAGACCACATATACGATATACTTCATTCAAGCACAAACACATTCTCAGAACATTTGCTGTTCATAACTGGAGAAGGGAAACTGGTTTCACAACTCTAACAACCAGTAATTGCCCACAAATAACATGGTACGAACAATCAATTAGGACAGTTAGGTACGGTTTCGATACTGGGAAGAGAAAGAGGTTTCGATAGGCAAGCAGCTATAAGCAAGGTACACAAAGTATTCCAAGACTCTACCGGTAAACTGCTCTAGATTAATTAAACTCGCTCAAGGCAAGTGTCATAAAATGGTCACTCCGCGCCCTTAAAATCTGTCTGTTGAAATCACCTTCTTGAGTACTTTTAGCAACGTCCACTCTTTCCAAATCAAGCCCTCGGTAAAAGGGCAAAAACAAGTAACATAGATCTTTCTCAAGAGGTTTGAAGGTTTATCACTATTGAGGCATAAAAGCAACGAATACCATAGATCTTTTCTCCTCTCAGGACCCATTCCTGTTAATATGCTCCTTTTCAATGGTGATAAGTTTCCTATAAATAATCTCTCACAACACATCATGCGATTTCTAACCCCACAAAAGGAAGATTCTTCTTCAAAGGGAAACCATGCATATTGCAGGACACGAGATGCGTAAAAGATTGATAGTTTGTTTGAGAGATCATGTCAACAACGAATTGGCATCATATGTTACATTCTTAAAAATTAAATACATCATGTTCTCTGAGATTAAAGATTGATCATAGCCAGATTGAAGGAACTACATGATAAACAAATATACCAGAAATACAATCTTGTTCAGGTTGCTCAAACTAAAAGCATAGAGATTAAGCAGAATAGGTCCAGCAAAGAGTTAATTAGCCACTAAGCCAAAGAGAAACTGGCAAATGCAAAGACTCATATGCATACAATCAGACATGGAATACATACAACCACGAAGAGAGAGAAAGAGGAAAAACTCACTTTTTTCCCACAAGAGATTCTCCGGAGAATTTTTCAATCACCTCATAAGTAGCTATATCTTTCGCTTTTCCACCTGAGGACTTGGTCTTACTATTTGGATCCACAGAATCATTCACCGCTCCATTTGCCGTTCCCTTTTTAGCTTTCTCAACAGGGAGCTCCGACAACCGTGATTCTGCAACTACATAAACCTTTCCATTGTATTTGTTGCGGACCTGTCATTATTCGACTAAATGTCAAAAACTATCAACAGTTTCAACATTTTTTAGAAAGCCAAATACAAAATAACGAGTGTCCATCAATCAAACAAAAGGAATAAGAGGCGTACTACTTAAAAACGAGATGCCCCGTAAAAGTATGATAACAGCAATTGCCCAAGGAATTCAAATACATCGATAGGAACAAAAGTGCAATTCCGAAACTAATCTCACGGGGATGCATACACACTTGATAAGAGAAGCAACCAATTGTTATCTTCCTTATTACTTCTTCTTTTAAAGAAACGAAACTAGAAATATGATTCTGAAGGCATTAAGCAAAATCTGACACCTATTGCACTCAAAAGAATGACTTGTAGTCAATTCTGCTGCCAATCACTAGATGAAGTTCAAATTACATCGGAAAATGGGTAACATGAAAGAACAGAGAAATGAAAGGGAAAGAATATAAACAATCAACACTTCTGCTATTGATAATAAGCAAAACATATCAGATGCTAACCTTGACGTAGATAAAGTTCTTGTTGACACAAAGAGCCAAATTACTAGGTAGTGTCCACGGTGTTGTTGTCCAAGCCACCAGGGAAGCACCCTCTTTATCACCCGATAAAGGAAAAGATACCATAATTTCAGGATCGGGAACATCCTGAAAAACAAACACAAGGTCACATCAGGCATGGTCATGCAATCTCAGCTAACTCTAATGAAACCATTTATTGGAACCTACAAAATAACATAACCTTCCAATATCATTTACCTTTCTTTCCTCGTACAAACAATAAAAAATTTACAAGATGGTAAAACAATCGAAGAAACCTAATCAACTAATCAAATAGAAGTCAACAATGAAAAAGGAAAAGAGTATCTGAAATTTAAACCTTATAATTTGAATTAGCTTCAAAGTTTGATAGAGGAGTTTTGCAACCAGTACTGTACGGCATAACCTGCAAAAGCAGCATCCACGTCAATCAGCATGTCAGAGGAAGACTCATCAAACCTATACTACAAAAGCAGCATCCACGTCAATCAGCATGTCAGAGGAAGACTCATCAAACCTATACTACAATGGAGCAGCCCTTCATTGACACTCCTCAAAAATTCAAATTCAAACATTGCAAGACAATGAACGTGGGATTTTGGGACGAGGACATCAGGTAGCAAATGAAGAAAAATTTACGAATTCATTTACTTCATTTAACTGTGTGATCAAAATACGAAAACACAAAATTCATGCGTCCACACAAAACGTGTAAATTCTTTACCAACCTTGAAGCCTCTGTAAACAAGCTTCTTCTCATACAACTGACCAAAAACCCACCAAACACTCTCCATGAACTTCAAATCCATAGTCTTATAATCATTCCTAAAATCAATCCACCTTCCCACTCTCACCACAGTCCTTTCCCACTCTTCCACATACCTCGAAACAATCGCTCTACACTCCTCGTTGTACTTATCAATACCCATCTTCAGCACATCTTCCCTAGTCTTAATGCCCAATTTCAAATCAATCTCATGCTCCACGGGTAATCCATGGCAATCCCACCCGAATCTCCGGGTCACGTGATGACCCGTCATTGACTGGTACCGCGTAACAATGTCTTTAATCGTTCCGGCCAAGATGTGACCGTAGTGGGGTAAGCCGGTAGCGAAGGGCGGCCCGTCATAGAAAATGTACTCCGGTAGACCCTTAGTCCGCTCTAATTGCGTCTTGAAGGCTTGAATATCATCCCAAAATTGCAGGATTGAGTTTTCTTGGGAGGGAAAGGAGAAGTCTTTGCCCTCGCACACCTCATCCATGGCTTCCTGAAGCTACGACAAGACGGTGGGACTAGGGTTTTGCAGTGGTGGCGTAGGATTAACGATGGTAAGAGAGGTTTATGGAAATGTTTTCCTCCCAATCGTTTAAAATTGTTTTTAACAATTCGGCAACCCTTTTTCAATTTCTCGTTCGTCAACAAGGAGTAATTAAAAAGTTAACAGTTGAAACTGTCTAAATTCCAAGGGGTAAAAATAAAATAATGATTTATGCAATAAACTTTACAGAGAATTTTAAAATGGAGTAACCCCTTTAAGGTTTATGCATTTAAGCGTTAGAGGATTGTGAAAAACTAGGCACATCATTTTCTGTAATTTTTCTTGTCAATTTTTGTTATATGTATCACGACAACAACAACAAAAAAAAAATGTTAGAATATCAAATGAGAGTCATGATATTATGATAAGAACCTCGATTGTATTCAGTAAAACAGGATAATGATTTGTAAAAAGTAAAAACACCACCATACAAATTTTAAAATTACTAACATAATAAGGGATGGTAAGTAAAAATATGTGTTACATCAACTATTGTCCCGTTTCATTGCTCATTTTCACTATATATCATTTTTTATCAAGTAAATAAAAAAAAAAAAAGAAAACTCATGCACTAACCTTTTTTACATCGCCGTTTATTTTTACCGTAACCATTCAAGTAGTAAGAAAAATGCAACTTCAACATGATGTATTAAAAGATAATAATCTCACAAATAAATAATTTTTAAATGAAAGGCTAAGATAATAATTCTTTCTTATTTTTCGGTCGGTAAGAAAAAGATTGAATTAAAAAGTCAAAGATTTCATAAAGTGCAAATAAATATTTCTCTATGAAAAAAGATTTACCAGACTGTCTATTATGTTAAACTTTATCAAATCTCAATGAGGCATGCACTAAATAAATGACACTTGATATCGAAAAAAATACTTATGATATACTCACTTTATTCTCAAAAAATATCCATTTTGAATTGTAAAATTTATACTAAAAACAAAACAAATTTCAAAACTTAATGTTAAATATTATTTTCTTAAGACAGAATTAGTATCATATATGTATTTGAAACAAAATTACTTCCTAAATTTGAAGTTTTGTATGCTTTTATTGTAACAACAGAAATTGTAAAACATATTAAGGTTGATCAAATTAATAATAGATTTAGGAGGTGGAGTTAACATTGTTCCCTCCCATTCCATCTAATATTTGTTTTCAGAATCTATAATGATTAAAGAAAAAAATCAAATTGTAAAACTTGTTTTATATATAGGTGTTTGGTGTATTATGGGCGTATTCATTGCACTGTAAAAGAAATAGATGTATCATAATTTTTAAAACATTTTTTATCATTATTATGTTCATTAAAATATTTAATGTAAAGGAATGTGATGCCTGAAACTATCTTCAAACTAATTAAATAGAAATTTAAAATAATTATTTTACCCAACAAGAAAAAAATCCATCCGGTTCTATCTCTTTTTTTTAAAAATGATTGTTTTTTTAAACAGAAGAATATAAAAACTAATAATCGATATTCTTTTTCATTCTCAATTTATACTGTGCAAAAAAGAACATCGTAATGATTCATTAACAAAACATTTCTAAACATTGTAATTGAGAATTTGAGATTCTTAAAATGAGCTGATTTTTTCTTTACTAAGAATGAAATTCCCTTTCCTCCATTCTCTTTTCTGCGTCAATGAAAGCACCCTATATAGATTTTCAAAAACAAGTGTTTTTTTTTTTTCTTGACCTTTCTTTCTTTCAAAATATAACAGTTAGTATTATGAAAGGATTAAGAACTAAAATTACATAGTTTTTTTCATCTCTCTCTCTCTCTCTCTCTCTCTCTCTCTCTCTCTCTCTCTCTCTCTCTCTCTCTCTCTCTCTCTCTCTCTCTCTCTATATATATATATATATATACATATATATATATATATATTAAAGTAAAATTTTTAATCGGATACATAGCGTAAATTTAGATAGAGTAATCCACGTGACGGAAAATTAGATAGCCAAAGTTCACATGTCACCACCACATCACTCCATCATTTAATAATAATTTTTTAAAGTAAAATTGTAAATTTGTATATAAAACTAAATGTATATTAAAATGTGTATTGGTATGTGGTTATAGTCTTTTTACTTTTCTATTGGATCCACGTTTTACCTTTTCTTGTTTGATTCTATGTGATTATTTATGGTGACTTAGATTTGAGTTTAATTCATGATTTTTTTAACTAAGATCTTCGAAGATCTTAGTTAAAAAAAATCATGAATTCCCACCCGATCGAGACTGTTCGCTTAGAGTGGGAGGGTCAAGTTTCATATTTTTTATTTTATTAGAAACCATGTAATATAAAAAAATATATACCATGATTACATCTAACAGACACAACCCACAAAATTATATCCGAGATTTTAATGGGTACATATCCATTACATACATGTAAATTTTTAAATATACAATATAAAGGTACATATTAATCATAAAATTAGATATGTTGATTTCTAACGGGCATATGGCCACATATCCATTATATATATGTGAAAATTAAATATACAGCATAAATTAACGGGCACATAATAATTGTAAAAAAATAACGAGCAAAACATAATATTAATGCATTATTTATGTGCATGTTATATAGTGGGTAATCTAACGAGTACAATAAATATATTTAATAAAATCTAATAGGTAATATACCTTTTGCCCCTTAAAGGGCAATACTAATGAATGATTTTTGTTGATTACTTTGTGTAAACATTATCAAATAAAACAAGTAACTAGATTAATAATAACTATAGTCCACACTTGGAACGAGCATACAAGCCTAAATATTAACAATTAATATTTGACAAATTTGAAGTCTTTATAGCTGGAGTTGATATGACCTTAAAGAGTGAAATATGTGACCTGGTTGGGTATAAGGAGGGGGCATTTCCAATGCGATACCTTGGAGTGACTGTATCACTGAAAAAGTAGAGTTAGGTTGAATGCCAAGTACTGGTGGAGAGAATAACCAGTAGACTCAAGTATTGGAGTACAAGAAATTTGTCGTATGCAGGGAGACTTCAACTGATAAATTCTGTCTTACTTCACCTACATGTATATTGGGCTTCAGCTTTCATTCTCCCTCACAGCATTACAGAAGCAATTAATAAGAAATACCGTGAGTTCCTCTGGGGTGTCAAAGAATAAGGGAGATACCATGCGCTTGTAGGCTAGGATCAGGTATGTAGAAAGAAGAAGGAAAGAGGGTTAAGTATCCATGATGCAAGAGTTTAGAATGAAGCGGGTATCTTAAAGCAAGTCTGGTAGTTAGCTAACAAAAAAGACTTTTTATGGGTAAAGTGGACTCACGAAGTTTACTTAGGGAAAAAAAAAGGTATATGGGAAGTCCACAGTAAGCAACATCATAGATGGCAGTGGAAACAAATCCTCAAGATCAGGGATAGAGCAAAAGATGGTTTTAGAGAAGGGAAATGGCTGGGAGACAGAAATGGCAAATACTCAATCACAACATGGTATAGATGGTTGCAAGGCCCCAAAATGCATAAGCCATAGGCTGCTTTGATCTGGTCTAGACCCAACCTGCCTAAACACGCTTTCATAGCCTGGTTAGTATGGCAAGGTAGGGTCTGGACTAAGGACAGATTGAGGCAAGTGAACATTCTAGTACAAGATAGCAAATGCTGTTTATGTGAAATGCTGGATGAGACAATAGACAACCTGTTTTTTGCTTGTCCAACATCAAATGAACTGATAGGAAGAGTAAAAGAATGGGTGGGCTTGAGAAGGTTTACTGTGCCACATGGGAAGTGGAAACAGGAGATGCAGAATATATGAAAAAGAGCTAGTTTCAAAACGCAAATCTAAACTGCTACTGTGATGGCGTGTATCTACAATCTGTGGCAGAAAAGAAATGCTAGAATCTTCTGAGGAGAGAAGAGATCAATTGATACCATCTTTCAGGACATACAAAGTACTGTGAAAATCAGAATGCACCAGGGCAGCATGAAGAAAAAGACTGCAGCTGAACTGAGAATTTGGCAGCAGTATTTTGTCGAAAATGTGAGGAATTTTGTTATATAGATGCAATGTAAATAGAGCTTTTTGGTAGGGAATCTGTACTCTCATGCTCCATTTTGGTATATATATATATATATATATATGTATATATATATATCAGCTTTTCACCAAAAAAAAAAATATTTGACAAATTACAAATAAACTACCAAATCATATTTCTTTGACAAATATTAATGATTGTTCATATTTCATTCTTTGTCCATGGTTGAATATTTAACAAATTACACAACGTAATAAGATTGAACTATTTATCAATGTAATTATTTTATAATGAAATAAATAGTTTAATGTATTATTTAAATTTGTTTCATCATAGTTAAGAAAATTAATACTCCATACTGGTGCTAAATTTTTTTTTATTGTCTTTTGTTTGCATTTGCATCTTGGAATTCAAGTATGGCAAGCAATTTTAATCGATAAATCTTCTAACCTTAATTAAAATTGGTAATCTGCAACAAAATATAAAAAATAAATTAGATGATTTATCATATAATATAATGATAGAAAAGGTTAACCTTATGCTGATAAAACAAAATATAGAGATCAATATGGAGAAAATTTTTCAAAATGAGAAAAAAATAAAAGTCTTTGTGACAGAGAAACTGTAGAAGAAAATCATATTAAGAAATTAAAAATAATTATATAAAGGAAAAAATTATGTAGAGATTACGAAAATATGATAAAAGAAAACCAAGATAATAATGAAAAATGAAATAGCTATTACAAGTTTTTCAAGAAATGAAGCTTTAAAGAGAGACAATCAAATTTAGAAAATAAGAGATGAAAACTGTGGAACTAAGAAAAAAAAAAGTAAACAATAAATTATAGGGAAAATTTACGAAAAAAATTCTAAAAAAAGGTTGCAAAAAGTAAGAGAGATGGAAAATAAAGATACTTTTATTGGAAAAAAAATTAGAAAAATTTTTGTTAGACAAATCATTATGAAAATTAAAAGAATACTTTTAATAAATATAAAGTCATAAATCAACAAAACCTTAAAATATTAATTGTAGTTAAAATAGACAATAAATTACATTGGATGATTTCTAATATTAAACATAATTCTAAGTGTAATTAAAATAACAAAACACATTGGCACCAAAACTTACATAATTGTTATTTATGTCATTGATATTATTTTTTTATATATAT